AAAAAAAAAAAAAAAAAAAAAAAGAAAAAGAAAAAAAAAGAAAAAAAGAAAGAAAGAAAAAGAAAAAAAAGAAATGAAAAGAAAAGAAAAAAGAAAAAAAAAAAAGAAAAAAGGCAAAAAAAGAAAAAAAAAGAAAGAAAAAAAAAGATACGCACGAGGAAACGTATTTTCTTACACATATTTTTTACAGGGCCTAATCGCAACTAATCTACCTTTACACGTTGTTGCCGTTGGTTTTTTCCCCCCTCCCCTAAGCCCCCTAACTTTTGAAACTTGGACACCCCATATTAACACGTTAATTAATACTTAATAATATATATACTGATTCACGTGTTTTTGTCTTTCCTTAAAGCATTTGCAGGAGGATGATCCAGGTTTTGAACAGCTAGTTTTTAAGATTTATTCGCACTAACGTAACATACCGATTGTCTCATGTTATGTATTCATAACACTTAATGTTCTTTCTGGTGGTATAACCGTGATTATTACGTCACGTAAAGATGTTTCGTTTCTCTCTTTAGTTCGTTGACTCACTCTTGCCACGTGTTACGAAGATAGAGGCCAAGCTAATCGTCCTCACTAGCCCTTCACGGCGTTATTTTTACCGTTCCGAAAAGGAAAATTCAACCTATGTTTGTTCTCCCTCGAATCTCGATTCTCCAACGACGTACGCTCTTATATCGGACGGGGAAGTAACGCCCGTGAACGAGGGCGGCAGCTTGCCGATGAAACGCTTACGTGTGTATATATACATATGTGTATGTATATATGTATATACATAAAAAGAAAAGAAAGAAAAAAAAAAAAAAAAAAAAAAAGTTATCGCGTACGAAAATGGCGAAAATTTCGCGAAACGTTTTTTCCTTGCTTTTCGCCATATACCCATCTATATACATACCTATGTATATATATATATACATAAAAAGAAAAGAAAGAAAAAAAAAAAAAAAAAAAAAAAAAAAAAAAAAAAAAGTTATCGCGTACGAAAATGGCGAAAATTTCGCGAAACGTTTCTTCCTTGCTTTTCGCCATATACCCATATATATACATACATATGTATATATATATATGTATAAATACAAATATTTTACATATCATATATATATGTATATATACATATATAATATATTTCTATATCTCTGATATATAAGGCTCTTTTGTCTTTAGTTAAAATTTAGTTCTACCTATCGTTTGCACATGTTTAGAGCATGCCTTCGTTTGTTTATCGATCCCCTTCGGTCTCATCGATATCCTTTCCCCGCCCATCATTTTTTCATCCCTGACTATCCGAAAAGATCCTTGGAATCCACAACTCGGTAACAAACTCCCTACTACTACTACTACTATTACTACTACTACTACTACTACTATTACTACTACTACTACTCCCCTTTCCGGAGAACCGTCGAGCTGCTGTCGAGTCTGCGATATCGAACCACCACTACCGAACGTCTCCTATGAATGGCATGCCGATGCACGAAGAAATTTTGCTTTTCGTTTCTCTTTCGAATCTCTCCTTTCCTGTTTTCCCGATTCGATACTCGGACTCGTAACTCGGTTCGGGTATCGTCCCTACCCTGCATGATGTACAACCGGATTTTTTAACTCCCCCTCCCTCTCCATCCGACATCCGACACCCCGCCCGATCGATCTCTCGAATCTCGAGCGAAAGCGAAAAAGGGGGATAATGGACGGACGAAATCGATAATGAGAAATCGATGAAAGAAAAGAGATCGAGGTGATAATTCTCTCTCTCTCTTCTCCTCGGGTTGAACGGGGGGAGGAGAGTTGGGGGTTGTGCGTGGCGCGTGGTCGAACGCGCCAACTACACTCGCTCTTTTGTCTTTGAAAAATAATCGAAGATCCGGCGAAAATCGGAATCATTTGTCGCGAGAAGGGGCATTGTGGAAGCGCCGCGATTGTGATCGTCAACGTTGAATCTCTAACGACGTTCCCTCGAACCTTTTACGCTCGAGCTCGACGTTTACGGACCGACCAGGATCTCCTTTCTCTCTCTCTCTCTTTCTCTCTCTTTCTCTTTCTCTCTTTCTCTCTTTCTCTCTCTCTCTCTTTCGTTTCACCACTTCTCCAGTTTTTCCCACTTCCTCCCACGCATTGTCCCGTTTACGGATCCTCGTCACCATCATCACCTCTCGCAACAGCAGACTCGGCAAAGCGAGGCGGAACGATAAAAAGCACTGCTGAAAGCACCCTGCCGTGTAAGCTCGCACATTATCAAAGCACAAAAGTTCTTCACCGTCGTATATACGTATACTCGTTCGTTATTGTTATTGTCGCCGCTAGTACCGCCACTACCAATATAATTATAATTGTATCGTCCCACGAACGTGTTATCGATATATATATATATTATATATACATGGAAAATTTGATGTATATAATGTATATATTGGATTATCGTCTTTACGAGTGTATGCACGGGGCACCACGGTAAAAAGGTATTATTTTTCATGCGGGCACGGTTTTATCTCGCACCCACCACGCACGCATGTAAAGTCGCACACGCGTGTCATGCACGAAAAAAAAGAAAATAAAAATAAAGCAGGAGGAGGAGGAGGAAGGGGGGAGGAGGAAGAGGAGGAGGAGGAGGAGGAGGAGGAAGTGGTGTCGGAGATGGTGTTACGTACGTAC